AAGGCTGCAGCGTAGACCATTGCACAAACAGGGGCTCACGACCTCGGAAGAACGGGTCGGAAGGCAGCATGGCGGACAAACGGACCGTTCTTCGGCAGCTCAAGGTCAGATTGAGCCACTTCCGGTTAGCCCTGGCCGGCATGTTCTGCCAGCTGAGGTAACGCGGCCACTAACGATTGAGATAAGTTAAAACTTCACGGATGGTGGGATGGTCGAAAAACAGAGTCGGAGGTAGCTTGATACCCCGGACATCTGCTTGCAACTCATCACGGAGCATCACTGCGGCACCGCTGGAGAGGCCAATATCACTCAGGGGCACGTCCCCTTCGATGCTCTGCCAATCCAACCCCAGCCTTGGACAATTTTGCTGGACTTCCCTGCAGTGCTTAAAATCTCGTCATCTCCCCAACTTCGAACATCGACCCAAGTGGCAGCTTGCCAGCAATCTCCTGGATTCTCCGCTGCATGGGCGCATCCTCTTCTCTCTGCATTGCGCGGTTGAGAAATCCACCCTTGCATCAAGATTTCACAAATCTGGGACCCGAGGCACAAGTTCCGGACATCGACACTAACATAACACGCCAAAGCACCTGAACTGCCGGCTTCACTGGCCGTGCAGACTCCTGCTGTGCCTCTGCTGTGGGATTGGGACTCGACCTCGCAGATGGTCGAGAGGCCTGCTTGTCCTGCTTGATTTGCCTGGCTCCACCTCACAGAAAAATTCGACAAACTCGACTTGGTGCAAGCACGAAGGCTCCAACAAGGCAAAAGAGGAACCCGATTCTTCGTGAAATCTCGAGTTTGGCCAGGCCACAGTCTGGGCAGAAGTTACAGTCCCATGGCAGGCGGCACCCGCACTTATGGCATTTCAGATCCACCGCCGCGGCGTCACCTCTTCAGGAATTTTTCCGTGAGGTCACATGAGGCCCTTGAGTCACGCGCGAAGATCAAGGATGCGGAAACTGCCTCGATCCGAGTTCGGTGCTCGCCTGTTCTCGTCTTGCTGCCACTTCTCCTAAGAAACTTCCAGTATAGTCTCAGGTCGTGGCATGTCATGCCGGACTCAGAGGAGCTACTTGAATTGATACTGTGGCCGTCCTGTGCCAGCAGTGGGGCTGTGGCTCGCGTAAGCAGCAGCTTCTTCTGCAACGAGTCACAAAGCACCCGACACTCGCTGATGATTTCCTGGTGATGCAGGTTCTCGCAGTCGCAGCATCCATTTCACAGCACCACTGCTACCGTGCGGCCGCCGCTTCGGTCTCGGAGATGCACATCGCCTGCTCGGCTAAGGTGTTGCCGGCCACGGCCACCTCGGTCTCCAGCGCCTGCTCCGCGTATCTCTTGGCGTTCAGGTACTGCCCGAGCTTCTCACTGGCCAAAGCACCGTAGTACCTGAGAATGAGACTACAGTGACTAAAAGGATTTCATGACTGAGAAGACTGAGAAGTGAACCGAAGCATTTAGGCAGGGGCACAGAGCACTCAAGCGACAATCGGACCTGCGGGCTTGCATAGCTTGCATCTGCAGCAGCTCCTCCACAGTTTGACAGCAGCTATCATACTGGCCCATCTCGTAGCTAGCCCTCGCATAGGCCGCCAGGGTCAGAGCCATCAAATCAGATTTTCCCAGCTCCGCTGCCATCTTCATGGCCTCTTGTGCCTCTCGGAAAGCATCCCGTTGCTGACGATTGCCCCTCTCGTCCTTTGCCAGGCACGCGCGCACCACCACCAGCCTCAGTTGAATCTCCTGTTCGTGATCTCCGGCTTCACCGAATCGTCGCCGAGCTCGGCGTGCATTCTGCCGGCTTGCACTAAGCTTTCCCTGCTTCATCTGTGCTTGGGCGACTATGGAGAGAGCAGAGGCTGCTTCGAGCTGCTTACCGGTTTCCTCGTAGAGGCGAGCAGACTCCTGTGCGGAGGAAACACACTCCCCGAAGCGGCGGCTCTCCAACATGACCTTGCCCCTGGCGGACAGAATCGGGGCCAGCAAGGACAAGTCTTCCTCGCTCACTGCCTGCAGCCTGGTGGCAAGGGGCAGTGCCTCAGAAGCCTTTCCCAATAGACTCAGGGTCTCCACTGTGCTGCCCAACAGGTCCACCGCCAACTGCAAGCCATCACGTGCATCAGCCAGCCCGAAAGCCGTCTGCATAGCCAGGAGGCATGTCTTTTTGGCGCCCTCTTGGCCGGAAAGTGGTGCTTTTGCCAGCTTCCGTCGTGCTGCTTGCAACACAAGCAACACTGCCCTTGCCTCTGCTTGCAAGTCACTGCAGCTGCGAGACAAGCTCGCTGCACGCTCTGCAGCAGCGATGGCACCCGACTCGGAATCAAGATCACCGGCCGCGAGCTGAACTGAAGCGACGAGCCTCGCAGCATAAGCTTGAACCTTCAAAGTGGAATCGACCTGTGCCGAACGCAGGAGCTCTCGTGCCAGGCGCTGAGCATGGCCCGGGTTCTCCAACTCGACATGTGCAGCGCAAGCAAGCCGCGTGGCTTCAAGCTGACGATGACTGCCAGCACCCTGCTCCTGCAAAATGTCAAGCACCTCCTGCGCGTGCTCCAAACACGAGGATGGTGCTCCTTTCTGCAAGTGCCAGGAAGCCAGCGCCAGCCGCACCTCGACCTCCAGCTCCGGATCGTTTCCGTCCTGAGAAGCCTCCAGCGCCTTCTCGGCTGTTGCTTGCCAGTCTCCGTCAAGGAAAGCAGCCGCAGCCATGGCCAACCAGGCCTTCGCCTTGCCCCGCGCATCGCCGGAGAAGTCTGCGATCTGAAAAGCAAGCGCAGAAGCTTTCTTCGATAGCCTCAAGTGCTCGGAGTCGGAGTTCTCCTCTCGACATTGGCATACATGAAGCTTGGCAAGCCACACGCAAGACTCGGCTCGGTGTACAGCATCACCAGTGGCCAGAAAAGTCTCGTGAGCCTTCTCCGTAGCTGCTATCGCTTCGCTGCACAAGGTGCTCGAGGGCTCAGACCTACATGCAGCCTCTGCGAATGCCAGCAGCATCTTTGCTTCCGCCAGCTCTGTTCCCAGCTGACGGCCTCTGGCATTGTGGCACACCTCCACGCCAGCCCTCGCAAATTCCACCACATCCTGATCCAGGAGCGCACACTTTGCCGACACCAGACTGCGCAACGCATCGGCCGCCCCGTTCAAGTCGCCCACTTGCCGGCAGTTATCCCAAGCAGCAGACGACAGCTCCTGTGCTCTGAGGTCGTCAAAAACCCCATCTCCACTTCCGGTGGCCATGGCTCAAGTCATGGTCGCCAGGCAGATGGCGATCACCGCGAATGGTGTGCTACCTCTTCGGGATTGTCTTTCGGGAACCCGGCAATGCATCGCTCTCACGACCGTTGCTATTGCTATCTGAACTTTCAAGAATCGAAACCATCTGCTCCGTCCCCTTCAATGCACTTCAGTTCAGGCACAAGGCTCGGCGAGGGCAGTCCCTACCGCTTTTTCCTCTCAGCCAAAGAGAAGGAGTCAAACAAACGCATACACTGCCTTCTGGCGAATACGTGCCCTGGTCCCTCGTCTTGTGTGAACGCCTTGTGTTCTTTCGGTATGGTCCTCTGGTCAGTAGCCCTTCACACTCGAACTCCCTCCGGTGTCATGTCGGCATATTCATGTTTAGTACCCCTTGGGGTGTCAGCATCATAACAACAATACGCAACAATTCCGAAAAACACTACACTCACCACACTCACTACACTCAACAGAGATACAAGTATGCAGCTCCATGAGCCGCTCAATCCGGCCAAGGAGGTCTGGACGCGGGTGTTTGACATGGCCTGGCGATGAAAGGCATTCCAGCTTTGCCACCTGCAGCTTCATTGCATCGTCATAGGATACAGTGTTTGACGGGTGCATTAGAGGACGATTGCTATCGGCTCCGGGCGCATGTTCTCTGCTCAGCAGGGAGCATGCATTCACGGCACATTACGAGTACAGGCAGTAATAACTTCGGACTTATGACAGCGTGTTCGTCTGCGAGACTGCAGGACATGTATGTCCAAGCAGCTTGCCTCGAAGAGATTTTACGGCCTAAGCCGCTGAACCCAGCAATAATTATACCCCACTTCAATGCAAACCGTTCGCATTTGCCGTTTGTGCCTCGATCACTGAAACTTGCCTTCCAGTGCCGGCAGCAGCAGCAGCAGCAGCAGCAGAATTATGTGGAAGGTTCGCGTGAGGCAAGCAATGAAAGCACAACAGGCTCTGGATTTAGAGCCTAGAGCAGCACTCCATCTTTGACTGCATCAGGCAGGGTAGTCACAGTCTGCATTGGACTGTCTTCGATGTCGTTAGCGTCTCCCGTGCACAACTCCTTTGGAGTGTGCTTTGCCAGCCAACAGAAGAGAGCCTCACTTTGAGTCCTCATCCTCGCACATGTGAACTTCTCGACTTCGTTGGGGCAGACAAACAAATAAACCAGTGAACACAGAAACCAGCGCAAGCGGGAATGAAGAAATCCTCGTCCATCTCTTCTTCTTCTTCCTCCTCCTCTTCGTCAGTTTCGTCAGGAGATGGCACCCGCGGCAGCTGGTTCGGACCTGCCGGGACACATCGAAGACGGGCCAGCGGCGGCCAGCGGGGGGGGGCACTGTGCCACCGGGACCCTGGCCCTGGCGAGCTGGCGTCTTTTCAGCTGCCTCAAAACGGGATGCACTGCAAGGCACGCACCTTTAAAGCGCTTCGTTGGGGCAGTCTGCGGCAGCGGGACCGGCGCCTCTCGCAGGTACGTGCTGAGGGGCTGATTCCTGTTCGCGCGACAGGCGGCCCTTAGTTGCCAAAACAGGAGAGGACCGATGCTTCGCTGGGAGGCGGCTGGGAGCTCGACTGCACCTTGCTCCAACCCTTCATGGCGGTGAACCTCGCGCTCGGAGCATTATCTCATGAAGACTTGTCAGCAGTGTCAGAGAGTCTCGCGAGCATGGCATGTCTGCTGCATCAGCCATTTTTTCGCCGACTGCGCTGGACTGAGGAGCAACGTCATGGGCTAAGACTTAACCAACACACATCCGTTTGCGGCGTCGCTTCCGTTTCGTGGTACATTGGGATTTTTCATCCTCCGTGGACGTGCAGCGGCGTTTTTTCTGTCTCCTGCTCTGCGATCGGTCATGGCTGACAGAAGCTCTCGAGTGCCAAGCTCCACGTCGATACACTTGCTGCACCAACTCGCGAAGCCCTTTCTTGCCGTTGGCAGACTTTTGCATCGCAATGCGCTTTGCCGGATTCGACAGCACCAGGCAAACCCCACCCGCCTTCAGAACTGAAAGACGAAACTTGTCAACATCCATCTTTTTCCTGGCACTGACGGCATCGCAGTCAAGGAGAACATCCACATGTTCACCAGTCCGCGCTACCCAACTCTGGAAATCGTCTGCTGTCAGAAAGCTCCGGATGAGGCAAGGTCCCGCTTTGTGAGTTTGGCCCTGGTCCCATGCACCCTCCTGGAACCACCCGGCGAAAAGCCGCTGTGCCCGCACTGCACTTGCACGATGCTTCGCACCACCATAAGCAATATCAATTAGGTGAATGGCACGGACATGCACACCCTCCTTCTGTATAAGGTGCTCAAGCAGCTCCCAATCAAAAAGGAGCTGGCCACTCCCAAGTGAACAGTAAACGAGACCAGCTTTGGAGCAGCATGTCTTGATATGTTCCACACAGAACTTCAAGAAGTCGGGTCGAACAGCTGAGTACTTTCCCAAACGATAGTTTCCACACTTTCGATCACCGCATTCACCCAAGTCCTTGATGATGCACTCGTGACCACTGGGCAGAAATCGGCGTGGTCGCACGTAGCCATGCCGTCGCTCAAACTGCAGGCAGGATCTCTCCAAAGCTTCACGGAGAAAGCGTCGGGAATTGTCGCTGACGAGACTGGGACGAACCAGGGTTCCTGCATCCGAGCTGTTAGAAGTGGACGAGATGTTGGACGAGCTCGTCGACATGGCATTGTGAACTGTGGGCTATAACAGTTGGAGGTGTGACCACACAGTAACCAAATTCATGCATTCCAAAGTCTTTGATCGCTCTGCGAGTGGGCCGGTCGCAACGCAGCAATGCAAACCGGCTACAGTTGGATTTGCATGTCACGGCAGAAAGACCGGCCATTACATGTTTGCTTATACCATGTCAGAACGGCTGCGTAACAAGTCAAAGCCAGGCTGCAATCGACACGAACAAACACGTAAAACACACCGAACATGGCGCACTTCGCGTGGGAGCTCACGCCGCCATGCAGGGGCCAGCCGCGGATCCTGCAGACGACATGCCGTAATCAGCGTAGCCGTTTCCACGGACCCTGCATTGTAGCTCTTTTCTTTCCTGGGCTTAGCGGCGCGTGCCACATGACAGCAAACAGTCCTAGTGCACAGCCTGCTGATCACCAGCACCAAAGCCTTCGAAAACAGGAAAGTCCAAAGAAACCAGTTAGAACGGCTCCGCGATGCCTCCACATCGTTGTCGGAAAAACAGATGAAGTCGAAGGAACGGGCTGGAGTTTGCCTTGCCAGCACATGCCCGGGTGATGGAATCAGCCAGAACAATCGCCGGCTAAGGTGCGCACAACGAGAAACAATGATGCGGGGACACCTGGTCCGGGAAGAGCCACGTCGCCTTCAGCCACTGCCGCATGCGAAGCCTCTACAGTGCGCTGCTGCCCGAAGCATTCATCATGCGAAGAGCAGCCGACATCCCGCTTTCAAAATGACATTTTCATCCCTGATGCTCTGCAGTCTCTCTGAGGAGCAAGCTCGGGCAGCGAAGGCATATCCCAAGCTCATGACCTGGGTCGTGGTGCACATTCACAAAGGGTGCTGGCACAGGCAACAGCAGGCAGAAGGCTAGGAGGAAGCACTGTTTGACTCGGAACAGAGTTCAAAGGGCCAGGGAGGAGCCATGCAATGCCATGCAACTGAGCCAGGCCTGCGACAGGTCGCAGGAGCACTTCTCCGACCATTCCCTGTACGGCGCCTGCGAGACTCTCGTCCCGTTTCAGATGTGAAGTGTGCGCGCCCTGACACGTCCGAACCTTGGACCATTGGAGCTTGACCTGGTTTGTTGCTATGCCTGTGGCAGTGATCGGCATCATCATCTCATCAACCGTCTTTCTCTTATTCACGGTGCATGCCGAGACCCCGTCCTCGTACGGTCTTCACATCACAGATGACCTTAAGCTTCCGCCTGGCTGTCTGAAGGATCTGTACGAGCTTTAATAACGGAAGCGAAGCAATGTAATCTCAAAGCGTCTGGCTTCTCTCGTCGGTGTTTCTGGTCCTTGCGAATGCGCAAATCCCAGCATGAAGCAGTGCAGCAGAAAACCAAGTTCGACACAATCTTGTCCACCTCAATGCCAACCATGGCCTCTCTACGCACTACCGTACTGAAAATCTGACACCGCTTCTGCCGAAACATTCCTGCTTCTCACGACTGGATGGCATGAGTGCTTGACCGTTGCCTGCGCCATCTGCCTGATGATGTTTGGGCTGGTGACGAGTCCGTGGCCTCACTGGCATTTCAGGGCTGCTTCTCTCATAAGCAGCAAGTGCAGCAAATGGAAAGCTCGCTTTAGGCTTCTGCGCTCCATCATCGTTTTCTTCCTCTCTTCGGCCAGCTTCGCCTTAAGCCCAGAGTTGCAGGACCCCAATGACACAAGCCAGATCCGTTCACCCAGTGGTTGTCCTGCTCCTCTCTTCGACGATCCTCCTGCCAGGTGATGATGCTCAGGTGCTTTGATTCCTCTCGACTTGTTGGTTCTCCTCCTGCTTTCTTGCATCATCTGCCTTTGACAAGCCAACGTCAACATACCAGAAGCAACTCATCTCCCGATCAGCTGTGCCTGGCGAAACTCACGCACAGTTCTAGCTGCTTCTCGATGGTTCCTGCCATTGTGCAAACATTCCGATAAACTCCTCTCAAATCGAGTCCTCAGCCCACGACGCATGGAGGTTGTGCAGTTGCTCTTGCAGTCGGTGGGCATCTTGCTTCCATTGCTCCTGAAGTTGGCAAGTTAGCCTGGAACGTAGCGACGGTTCTGGTTGCAAATCCTGCTGGCCTCCCCAGCCGAACTCATATCACGTGCGTGACCTTCCCAATCCGATTCAGGACGACATGCTGCACACCAATGCTACGTACCCTTTGTGCCTAGAACACTCTTCAGCTCGCCGGCGCATTGCAGGGAGAGAGCAGCCACCTGCTCCGCCTTCCGGTGTGCGATGGGTCAAAGAAGTCTTTGCTAGCTTCGGCAAGGGACTAAATGCTTCAGGCGCCCTGAAATCTCTAAAAATACGGAGAACACATGCCTGCACTCAGACGTCGGGAAGCTTGTTAATGCCCTCACTTCCGGGCATCGGGCAGTGCGAGCCAAGCAACCCAAAACAGTTTAGACATGCACAACAAGGGACGGTCAGACGGTCAACTCGTTTCCTGCAGCGGCACTCCCACCAAGCTTGGCCCTGTGAGGGTGAGGTGTGGCGGTCATCAGGGTACTACTGGTCCACGTCGGTGAGGCACGTAACTCCTAAAGCATGCCAACACCTGGGGCTTTCGGGTCCCTGTCTGAGGTTGTCTCCGCTTTGCTCCTGCTCAATGAGGAATCGCGATTATGACACCAATTGCTGTGCTTGATACCTTCGTCTAGCTGCTAGGGATGAAGATACAGTGACAGCTCCGCAGGAATCTGAACAGCCCATCTGCTTTCGTAGCAAGGGCAACGAGAAAGAGCTTCACTCGGAGCCACGACCTTCAACGCATCTTGAAGATATGATGCTCCCACGAGTGATCGTGAAGACTGCATACCAAATCCAGAACACAGCAGCCGCAGCATGCGGCAAGGACACTGAAGGGTGTGCTTCGATGGTTATCAGCTGACCATCACCCCACTTAGTCACCTAGTTCAAGCGAAATCTCTTGCTACCAGCCTCCAAGATATCCTGCTGCATCTCTTGCTGCTGGGCGCGAACATGCTGTGACAACCTGAGAACGTCTCAGACAAGCTGGCCCCACAAGGGAAAGCAGGGGCCCCTGCTCCTGGTATCGGCGAGTCTGCTCCACGAAATTCTCCTGAACTGAAACTGACGCAGCCCCAAGACCAAACAGGTGCGCAGAAAGGTCAAGGCCTGAAGCTCCGTTACCATGGAGAAAGCATCTTGCCTTTCATGCACCGGAGCAATCGACAACATGTGCATGTATGGAGCTTCAACATGCCGCCGAAGTGAAAGTTCCCGGCGCCAACCGCACAAATGCCCGCAAGTTTCTCTCCTGGACAGTAAGCACAACGGCCTCGCTGTCGGCATCTATAGATCTCAAACCTTGTCGTTATGCTTTTGCCGGTACTGCTGCAGATCTTCCCACACCTGCCACCAAGAGGAAGCCGAAGAAAAGCAAGATGGCACGAGCCGCCTTCTGATGCTCTCGTTGCAACATCTCCTTCAGCCAAGCCACAGCAGGAAGATCAAGGCTTACGGCTTACATCCTCACTGTCTCTCCTGGCGTGCAGTCAGAGCAGTCTCCCTCTCTTCAGCCTGGCTGTGAAGCTGCAACCTTGGAATCAAATAGAAAAGCCCTTTCGCCACTGACGTGCCTTACACATCTTCATAGTTCTCTGGAAACGTCTCTCGGCCCCCTTTTTTGCAACGCCTGCTCAACTCGACCTGGAACGCTTCCGCCTGGCTTTCTTCTTCTTCTCACTTGGATCCCTGGACTTCCGATTCTTGTGCCTTGTATTCCTTGTATTCCTTGCATGCTTTGATGCAGAGGAGCTGGGTCGACGCTGTCTCCTCTTCGACGGCTTGCCGGACCTTCGGCTCCGCGAGCGTTTCGCCTTGGAGCGCTTTGGATCGCTAGAGGTCGACTTGCCCCGCTTCGGCTTCTTCGTCTTTCCGTTCGCCTTCTCCTGCTCCTCTCGATAATCCTCGCGCTCCCACAAGCGCTCTTTCTCCTTCAGCTGCTGCAATTTCTGCCGAATCTGCAACCAGCCATGGTGCATCTTGCCGTTGAGGTGTGAGGCACGCTCGTGCCAATCTGGATTGTCCGCCGCTTGCGAAGCATAGCGAACACCGCACACCTCACAAACCTCTTCACCAGGAAACTCAAACCGGTAGCGCTTCTGATAATCATTCAGCTCCTGCTCCACCTCCAGAGCCTGCCGGGTCAGCTCCTCACTTCGGCTGAGAGACTCATCTGCCTTTTCCTCAGCCTCCTTCACCAATTTCTGGTGCTCCTTCTGCAAGGCATCGTACTTTTCTTGCACGTCCGGCGGCATTCGCGTGGTTACGCCTCCCGAACCTTTCGGCCGACATTTAATCTTCTCCCGACCAATGAACATGTCGCACTCACGTGTGACTCGTTCCAGGTACTTCAGGAACTGCTCTTCGAAGGTGCGCCGATACTTGACAACCTCGGGATGGGCCTCAAACGTGTCACGGAGCACCTCCGAATGGATCTTATTGCAGGGAGGCATCTTGCGCCTGGATGTAGTGAACCAGTCGTGAGGGCAGAATCCAACCAAAAAGTTCTTGCAAACCTCAGCCAATCTGCACTGAGCTTCACACAGTCCAACGATGTGCCAAGAACTCTGTCAATCTAAGCCGGGCACCTTTTCGTCTGCAAAGTCTGGTGTCTCGGTGTCCTTGCTGGCTTGGTTGCGGCTTGGGCCCATGAGGGCATCCAGCATTGCCCGAGCTTCTTCCATGGCTGCGCAGCCGCACCACGCCACGAACGTCAATGTTCAGCTGCTGAAAAAAATCAACGACAGCATTCGCAGTCTTGCTTTATTTCTTCATGGCTCTCCAAGTTTTTCCAATACGTCCTGGAAAGCTGCTGATCACCTTTTGAAGAACCAGTTGCTGCTGGTCAACCGCTACCACATGTTCATGCTGGCCTGAGATGATGGCATCAATCGACATGACAAATAAGGCATTGGCACAATGAATTGAACAGTGCATCTGGCTAAGTGTGTGGCTCCAACCTCTGGCGATGCTCTTGCTCCTGGCCTTTGAAGCGACATCGCGTGATCACTTTCCACTACGGGTCCGGATAAGTTCCCCGCTGTGCAAATCCTGAAATCGGCCTCGTTCGGCACTGCCTTGGGCACTCTACCGGACTGCCCGAATATCCCCTGACACATGAACACCCCTATGGGCCAATGGGCGTTGAGCTCGTGGCTTTGCTTGTGTTCTTCCTGCAGCTTGATATGAGCCTGGTGCAACCTCGGCGGGCGCACATCTCCATGCAAGAACAGCAACTCTTACAAGATTGTTCGGAAAGTAACTGCTCCCTGTCCGAATGGAGCTGCATCATCACCTTGGTGAAGGCTGTAGCCATGTGGGCGAACCCTTCAAAGAAGGTCAAAGCTGGGAATCGAAATAAGCGTGATAAGCAGCAGACCTGTTGCGATGTTTCCCTGTGGGCTCGGAGGCCTCACGATGCCAACCCAGCAAAAACAGCAGTCCCAACAACTCCCCTGCTCCGGCAAGTAAACTAGCAATCATCCTCGCCGATGCACAGAATGTACTTTGAGTGGGGACTGCTTTCGTGCAGATACTAAGGCCGCTCTGATACTCGTCGGCCAAACAATCCGTCAACCCTTCATCCAAGTTCCGCACCGTCGTTTTCGTGCCGAAGGGTTTCCAACTCCGCCATACATGCGCTCAGCCTTGATCGTATCATTGCGATGTCAGATTTCAGCCACGGACCCTCTCCTTATTCAGCTCGATTGAGGCAGGAACCTCCTCCGCAAATCCGAATTTTCGGCGACATGATCAACATTCGCTCCTCGCCGGCGCTCTTATCATATGGTTGGAATGCGTCGCAGCCAGACATGTGCCACAGCACAAACCCTTCCTCGCATGGATGTACTGACACATTCTTAGACTGGGGACGGCACCGGGCACACCAGCACGTTCAAACCTCGGATCTGAAATGGTCTCGGTCGAACATGTCGAAGGTATGCAGCAAGGTTTGCGAACTTCAATTGTTTGCGGCATCGACATGTGACTTGGAGCCACACGCTGCACAGCGCTGTTGGGCTTGGGCTAACCTCGTTGAGTCATATGTTTGATAAAATTATCTTTGTCGCGCTACGCTCGGAGGCACAACATCCTGGAAATTTGCGCGCACTGTTCTTGCACTCGCATTCCAGGGAAGGTGGAATGGAGGAGCAATCACGATTACCCATCGTCTGCAAAGCAACATAAAGCTTCTCGACATCCAAACCATGCGAAACTCCACAAATTTTTCGGAACACACCGATCGTAACCGGTTCCTTTCTGGGTCACTTGCTCCAGGTGCGAAGCATACATATGATCCCGGTTCTCGGTTCACCGCCCCCCCCCCCCCAATGGTATCCCCCCCCCACGCTGCCCAAGCCGAATCTGTGATCTGGGTGTGACTGTGCAATCTTCTTCCACACGAGGGCTCACACGCCTGCCTTGCTCGCCTGTTCTGCCGTCAGAGCCTTCGGTGCCAGTCTGCTTGGTCTTTCCCTTGCCGGCACTGCCGCTGCTCAACGAGGTCCTCTCCTCGACTCGCTTCGATGAGATCCCGCCCCTTGCCAGCCGTTTGCCCCCACGCCCTTGAAAGAACCTTCCCATGCCTGCAAGCCTGGTCTTGCCGCCGAAAAATAACGGCCTCTTTGGTGCTACATTGTGCTACCAACGATTCTTTGCGCCTTGCCCAGCTTCGCAACCCTGCGGCTTGGACACATGGCGGCGCTGCGTAAGGCTAATGGCAGCGTACGGACAGTAGTGGTTGGGTTACGTCTTCGGCGTTTGCCCACATGCATGCGCTGGCGCAACAGCGCTCTGCGACTCGGCGCACACAGGCAGGCACTGCTACAAACTCCTCCAATCGACGCGGTCGCGCCTGCGACTATGTGTCGCGCGAAGCCCGGTTGTCCCCTGCTGGTGGTAAGACGCGCGCCGCGCACTCGCTGTGTCCCACCCGGTCGACGCCAGCGGGGCTGAGCGTCCAGCGTCCCGCCCCACGAAAAGTCGGCGGGGCATACACTCCTTGATCCCAACATTGCGTGGCAGCCTCCTTGTGTTGTGGCACCACTTTTGATTAATTTGACAACCACCCCAACAGCAGCTCCCGAGGTGATCTGCTCGTTCGGCTTTGCTGTCGGTTGTTCTGCCAGAACGCACGTCGATTCACGTGGGCATTGACATGTAAATTGGATGGCTCAACAGCACCTCCAAATCAGGCCACAGAGGCCGACCAGTCCACGGATATCCACGGATGGTCCTGGGACAGGACCTCATGTCCGAGGCGACGATGCACTCACTGGCACTAACAAGCGAGCGTGAACTCCGGCAACGACGCCGCGACGGCGCGCTGCGATGCACTGTGTTGCTATACAGCCGCACTACACAGGCTGCATGCGCAGCCGCTGCCCGCACGTCCGAGGCACCGTGCACCACCTAGTTGGCAGCTTTCGTACCAAATCAGTCCCGACTTCAACGGACCTTGGCGAGCTGTCCGCTGCCAAACGCGCCTTGACAGCCGAACCGCTCGCTCACACCCCTTCCACCTTCCTGGCCCTACGGAGGCGCACACTCCAAGGCACTAGCGAGGCCCCTGGCGGCTGCCAACAGGCGGACACCGCCACCGCACGTCGGCGAGGCCGCGAGCGGGAGCTCCAACAGGGAAGCTGCGACGGCGCGGTGCGCTGCGATTGCGAGGAGCCCCGACCAACGGGCAACCCACGCCGTTCGCGCAGCCGCCCGCATATTAGCCTGCACGTTGGAGGCACGGTGCCTGGCGAGCAACCGGAGCCAGGTGGCCGCTTCTGCGCCAAACCGGCCCCCAACCTCGACACCAGCTACCACCAAGTACCGTCCCGCAGGGCCTATACCCCGCTGATGCCGCATCTCTTTACAGTCTTCCCGACCTCAGCTGAGTTGACGGTGCCGTCACCACTCTACCGCGTCCTGCTCTTACGACGGCTTCGTCTGCCTCTGCCAGTCGCGCCGCGCACGTGCGCCTGCCGCGGTCGCTTTGACCCGTTCGGTGACCACAGGGCTGCATGTGCGAATGCCGGCGCCCTTCCTCTCGAACGGGCGGTGGCGAGAGGGTGCCACGAGGTGGGCACGCAGGTCGCTTGCAACGTCTGCCTCGCAGACAACCTCGATGTTCCGGTCTCCGATGACCGCCGCATCAAAGTTGTCGCGAACGGCTTGTCGTTGTGGCACGGCGCGCAGCAAGCTGTACAGATGCCACCATCGTCAACCCTGTGACGCGAGCGGGTGCGGCGTAGCCTGGAGCAGGCGTGCACCCCGGGCGAGTGGTTTAGCTCTGGAACCTCGGGGATGCGGTGAGGAGGCGATCGTGCTCTGCCCGCTTCGCGGCGAGGATGCCGTGGACGTACTCGTCGGCACCCAGCGGCGTGCCGAAGACGAGAAGGCCTTGGCGGTCGCGTGGCAGAGACCAGTCCCCAGTCCAGATGGGTTCCTCGCTGTGGCCGCGCAGGTCGGAGATGCGGGCGGGCTCCTCCCCCGCTGCATTCCAAATGCGAGTTTTGCCACGGTCAAGCTCAATGCACGCATGCTCGCGACGTGCTCGCTGGCAAGTGTCCTGCAAGTTCCCGGATGCGCTCGGGAACTGGGACGACATAAATGTCGTCGAAGGAGGCAAAGACCGCCGCGCCATCCCGCAGCTGCGTGTGAACGGCTGCGAGGGTGGGGTGTTGAGCGATGGCGTATAGAGAGCGGGCATAAGCGGGTCGCCTTGTTCGCCGCCCTCAGACTGCCGCACCTCGTGGGTCTGTCCGCTAGCGTCCTGCCACACGTACGTGCTGTCGAAAACGTAGAATTGGCGGATGTACGGCAGCAGCGGCTGCAAGCTGGGTCTTTGCTTGAAGCCAGCAAGCATCGTGTGGCGCGACACATGGTCAAACGCGCCGATTGCATCAATGGACAGCACGGTGGCACGCGGCTTGCCGTTCGGATGCATATTCCTGCGCGAGTGTGCGCCCGACCAGCCGCCGCAGCACGTCGCCAACGACAAGGGCCCGCACGCGACCGTTGGGCTTGCGGCGTGCGACATGCGGCCGAGACGACTGGTGCCGGCACCTCAGCGCGCGCAAGCCACTCGGCAGCGCGGTGCAAGAGTGTGCAGTCAGTGTCGTCGTCGAGCAATATGCGCAAGTGCTCGCTGGTGATGCCTGAAGGTCCAGCGGCCGATCCTCGTCTAGCGGTCCGCAAGGAGGCGATGAACGGATGCAATGGGAGTGTACACTGTTCCCATGGCCTGAACGCGAGGAGCTGGGGTGCGAGATTTTCGTAAGCTACACTAGGAAAACCTAGGAAGTAGCTGTACAGTGTAGAGAGAAAGGGCTTTAACCCAACTGAGCTTAACCGACTTCCGCAGCCCTCTTTTGAGTGTCAAGACAAAAAGTGAGCCCAATACGCGACCATACCTCCGCGCATGGTAGCGGAGCTGGTTCGGTAGGCCCCGGCGCTCCTAGGGTGCGCGGGCCGAAACGCCACCCGCCAGCCGCCACGTCCGAGTGGTGGGGCTGGTGGGACTGGGACTTCGACTGGAGTTCCCAGTGGGACTGGAGGACCTCCCAGCAGGAGGAGGCCTCTTCCAGACAGGCACCACAAGGTGCCAAAGGGAGCGGGGCAGCCGAAGCTCCAGTCCGAGGAGAGCTCCGGGGGCCAGGGGTCGTGCCAGTTCCTAAACGGACTAAGGCACGCGGCTCGCAACAGGGAAGGCAACCCAGCTTGCGGACCAGTAGACGAGATCAGCGGGGCGCACTTCGACCTTTCCCGCGATGAGCCAACAACAGGCTCATCAGCAGCCCGGGCAGGGCGACCCCGTGGTCGAGGCCCTGCGCGGGGAGGTGGCAAACCTTAGCGGTTTGCTGGAGAGCCAAGCGCAGCAGCTGCAGGCTACGATTGGCGAGCTAGGGCCTAGCTGCGCCACGGCGGCACCCGCCCCTGCACCCGCGCAGGCGAGCGGTGGAGGGCACTTGCTCAAGAGCATGCGGCTCCCGACCTCCCTTAAGGGGCGAGACGACTGGGAGCGCTTTGCCTTCCAAGCAGAGTCCTACCTGGCGGTCGTAGACACCATGTATCCAGCAGAGCTCGAGGTGGCTCGAAAGTGCAAGGTGCCACTCCAAATGGCAGCCATGACCGAGGAAGTGCGGACCCTTAGTGTCCGCCTCTTCGGCATGCTGGGCAGCTGGACCCAGGACTCCGCCACAGCTGTGAAGCTGGCGCGCGGAGTGAAGGGCCAGAATGGGTTTGAGCTCTGGCAAAACGAGTCCAAGAACCTCACCTGGAGGCGGACCCTGCTGATGCCGAAATTCCCTCCAAAGGAGAGCGACTTCTCCTTGGCTCTGCAGGAATGGGAGGCAAATGTGGACCGCTACGCCTCCGAGTATGGCGCAGGGCGCGCCCTAGCAGACGAGGATCTGCGGGCAGTGCTGGTGACCGAGAGCCCCAACGCTCTTCGGCAACACCTCGCTATGCACGCGGCGAGTCTTTCGACTTATGCCGATGTGAGGGAAGTAGTGGTGAGCTACTTGCAAGCCAAAAGGGTCTGGACCCCGAGTGCGGGCTACGCCGCCTCTTCTCGAAGGGACCCTCACGCCATGGACATTGGCAGAATAGGGGACCGAGACGGAAAAGAAGGGAAGGGCAAAGGCGACAAAGGCAAGAAAGGGGACAAAGACCACAAAAAGGGCAAGGGCGACCACGACAACAAAGGCAAGAAGGGGGACAAAAAGGGAAACCAGCAAGGAGGCAGAGACGGCAAAGAGAGATGCCCAATCTGCTGGAAAACAGGGCACACCGTAAAAGAGTGCTGGTTTAACGCCAAAGGAAAAGGCAAAGGCAACAAGGGCCAGGTGGCCCAGGTGGCCGACGACGCGGCCACGACGTTGTCAACAGCCTCCTTGGCGACTGCGGGCCCCTCCGCGTCCCAAGCCGAAGCACCGGCGGCTCTGGCGGCAAAGGCCAGGTGCGCCAGGTGCGCGACGACCGCATCCTAGGTGTGCGGTTTGCCCCGCTTCAGGACACCGAGCCAGAGGAGGACAAGATCCTCAAGGTGTCGGGGAGTCTTCTCGTGGACTCCGGGGCGTGTGTGTCTGTGTGCAGGCCCGAGGCGTTTCCCGACCTGCAGCCCGCAGGCCCACCAAAGAGCCTTTACTCGGTGGACAACAATCGCCTAAAGACAAAGGGCCGTGCTCAGCCGAGCCTCCTCTTAGGGGAGGAGCGTCAGTCCTGTAAGGTCAACTTCGAGGTGACCGAGGACATAGAGGACGAAATCCTCAGTATCAGCCGTGCTGTTGAGGCCGGTGCGGGCATTTGGCTCCACCGAGAGGACAGCCACATTTTGTGGCCCGACGGCGTCCGAGCCTCGATCCTCAAGAGAGGGTCACAGTTCCTCCTACCCTACGAGCGGGAGCTCCCGCCGGGGTCAACAAACCGGGTGGCACCGGTGGCGGCAGAGCCACCGAGCCCAGGCCGAGACCTGGGACACTACGACTACATCCCGGAGCACGACCTCGAAGCTCGAGAGGTGGAGGACGCGGCGATGGAAGCAGCAGCCGACGAAGAGGCCGAAGCTGCTGAAGAGGAGGAGGCTGCGGGTAACCCCGCCCCTCTCGAGGAGCAGGCCGAGCAGCCTGACTCAAGGCCACGCGGCCTCAGGGCACCGCGCAACCCCACGGCGCAGGAACGCGCCGAGCACGAGCTCACTCACACGCCTTACCAGGCGTGGTGCGAGAAGTGCGTGGAGGGAAAGGCGCGCGAGGACCCACACCGCCGCCGTGAGCCCTCAGATGATCCGGTGACGCCGCTTGTCACCATGGATTATCATTTCTACAGCCGGGACGGGAAAGAAGTTGAGGAAGAAGCGTCGCTTGCCACGGTGCTGAACCTCACAGACAGGGCCACTGGCTGGACTCTGTCCGTTCCCGTGGCGCACAAAGGGCACAGACACGCGGCTTACGCCGCAGGGCTTGTGGAACAGTTTGTGGATCGGCTGGGGTACGACAAGTTTACCCTACAGGCCGACCAGGAGAATGCCATAGCCTCTGTGGCCCGTGCGGTCCACCGCCGGCTTGGAGCTGCTAGGGTGCGTCTTCGGGACGCCCCTCGCGGGTCACACCAAAGCCAAGGATCCGTGGAGAGAAGGAACGCACACCTGGCAGGTGAGGTTCGCACTTGGCTTTCGCAGCTAAGAGCGGACTACCCCGCCTTAGAGTGGGACACCCCGTCAAACCTGTTCCCGTGGCTGGTCAGGCACGTGGCCTGGCTGCAAGCCCGGTTCGGGACTAAGTCAACAGACGGGGTGACACCATATCGGGCAGCCACTGGCACCGACTATGGTGGAGCACTTTGCTCCTTTGGAGAAACCGTTCTAGCGAAGCTCCCAAGGCCCGGGAACAAAGCGCAAGTGCGCTGGGTCAAAGGGGTCTGGGCCGGCAAGCTGGAGCGCGACGACTCCCACGTGGTGCTAACCGAAGCCGGCGCACTCAACGTGAGGAGCGTCAGGCGACTCCCGCCGGAGACCCGGCACCAAACGGCAGTCGTCCTCAAAGCGTGCGGCCTGCCTTGGAACCCCAGATTTGGCCGCACAGCGCCAGCAGAGCGCAGCGAGCCGATCATGGTGCCAATCCCTCTGGCCACGCCGGCCCAGGAAGTGGAGCGGCTAGAACCGCCCGGTGAGCCCTGGCTCTTCAACGACGAGCCTCGGCCCGACGACGAGGCCCTCCTGGTCGAAGGGGCCGAGCAGGCCAGCAGGCTCCCGGACGCTAGCCCCACAGAGGAGCTAGCTAACGCAGACATACCGGACTACGACCGCAGCAAGCGCGCTGCGGCAACAAGCGGCAAGCCCCGCCCCAGCCGCCAACGACGGTTCAGGCGAAGGGGGGCAGAAACGCGACTCTGCGGGTTCCTCCGCGAGCGCAGCGGCAGCACAGCAGCCGCCTGCAGCAAAGAGCCGCACGGAGCCCAAGAAGGCACCGCGGCTAGGGGCGCTCACTGAGCGCGAGGTGTGGCAGCACATCGCTGCCTTAGCCGACCCGCCGCTCACCAACCAACAGGGCGAGCGGGACGCGTGGGTCGGGCAGGTGACAGACCTGCTAGACCGCATGCTTGACTCTAAGCAGGTCGAGCAAGCACGCAAACAGCAGCTGAGAAAGCTGTGGGACCGAGGCGCTTTCACGCCTGTGCTGCGGTCTGAAGTACCGCGCGGGGCGCAGCTGTTCAGCGCAAAGTGGGTTGACAAGTGCGACAAGGGAAGGTACAAGTCAAGGTGTACCTGTGCCGACGTCAAGGCCCGCTACAGCCCCGAACAGGAAGCTGGCTTGGACGTTTTCGTCCCAACACCGACGCCCGAGAGTCATTCCTTGTTGGAGGTAGCAGCGCTACACAACGAGGGGTGGGTCACAAGGTCTTTGGATATTGTGGCCGCCTTCCTCATAGGGAAGGACCGCGGTGCGGCGGAGGGCCGCCCGGTCTACATGCACGCGCCTGTCGAGTGGCGCGAGCTCTTCGACCAATGGGTCTTGGAGCAGCCAGCAAAAGACCAGCAGTGGTACCGAGACCACTTCCGGGACTTTGTGTTCCGAGTGGACGGAAACCTCTACGGCCGAAGAACGGCTGGGTCCGTAGGCGTGAAGGACCCGTGCGTGTTCCTAGACCGCCGGTCCGGCCCATATCGACGACATCCGTGTCGCAGGCCCCAAGGCCGCAGTGCTCAAGTTCACCGATCTGGGCCTTCCGGCGCACTGTGAGATAACGGTGGGGGAACTGGAGGAGCCGGGCACAGCGGTGGAGGTCCTGGGCAGGACCAAGGTGCGCACTGAGGACTCTATCCTCACGCTGCCCGACAGCAAGCACGCAGAGAATGTGTGCGAGCAGCTGGGCATCGGTCCAAAAGACAAGGGGACCGTGCCTAGCAGACCTCTAGACGTGACCAAGGTCGAGGAGCTCTCTGCGGGTGACGCCGCGAAGTTCCGCAGCGCCGTGGGTAGTGCTATCTACCTGTCGGCAGACAGGCGAGACATACAGTTCGCCGTGAAAGAGCTGGCGCGAAGAATGCAAAAACCCCAGGGTCTGCGACTGGCTCGCTGCGGAAACCCTCGCGCGATACCTGCGGGCAACCCCGCGGTTTGGAAGAGTGGTTGTGCTGGCCCTTCTGAACTTGGAGGTCTACTCAGACTCCGACTGGGCGGGGTGCCTAGAAACGAGAAGGAGCACAGACAACATAGTTGCCTGTCTCGGTGGAGCAGTCATCCAGACAAGCTGCCAGACACAGCCCGGCCTCCCCGCAACCTCCAGCGGAGACGCGGAGATCCGGGGAGTGTCGCGAGCAGCAAGGGAGGCCGTCTTCCTACGAGAGCTTGCGGAGAAAGACTTCGCCCTGGCCTGCGGTGTGCCGCGGCTATGGGCAGATTCCGCAGCTTCGATCGGAGCCGCCAAGCGCATAGGACCAGGGTCTAAGTTGAGACACCTGGAAGTTGCAGAATTCTATGTACAAGGTGCGCTCAGAGCCAAACTTCTCGAATTGAGAAAAGTTAAGGGAACCGAAAATCCGGCAAACTTCGCTACCAAGCACGCGAAGACTGGACCGGAGGTGCGGCAATCCCTGCCCTCCATGGGCATGGTGGACCTCGATGCGGTCGCAGGCGCCACCGAGGCTCTGGCCCAAAAGGGCACGATCAAGTCGATCCAGGCAAGCACCTGGAAGATGAGACCGCCGACCAAGCTCACGAGCTCGGCCCTCATGGCCACAATCGTGGCGCTGCAGGTTTGACCTGCCAAGGCCCAAGGGCATGACTTCGCAGAGCTGGTGCTCGGCTTCGCGGCCCTAGGCTTCCTGGCCTTCCTGTGGATGCTTTGGGGTTTAGTCTCCTGGCTCTGCAGGTGCAGACGTGAGAGGCAGGAGCCGGAGCCCGAGGATGAGATCGAGCACCACGCTGAGCGTGCCGAAGAGCCGCCGCGTGCTGCCCAAAGGGCCACTGAGATCTGGCTGGGGGCCAGAAGCAGAAGCGCCCAACCAGGCGCAAGAACAAGGAGGTGGGCACCAGCCCAGGGGGGCTCAAGAGCCAGAGCCTGAGGGCGAGCGGACCCCAGGTCCGCCCCCTGCGGCGGACGCTCCACCACCGCCGCCCGCAGCCCCGAGGGTGCGGCGCAGGCGTGGGGGAACGGAACCCCCTTCGGGGGACGACGAGCATCTCTACGAGACAGCCCGTGGTGACAAGATCCATCTTTTCACCAGCTGCAATGGGCTGAGCTCCGTCCCGCCGGATCAAATCCTGATCGGCTTTCGCTGCCACGTTCAACCTACAAGTGGCCACCGGCCGCGTCGTGCGCCGGTACCATGGCCAACAGCGCGGTTGCCCATTCATGGAAGGGGCAACGATCAGACACAGGGTGTGTCTCCACTGCCGCAACGGGCACCCAAGCTCGAAGCCCGGCAGTGCGGAGAACAACTCCCGCCGCTGGGTGCCTCCACCTTAGAGGCCCCTAGCGGGCAGCACCGCAGGGCGAACCTCACGGCTGCCAGCCCTGTGTGCGGGACGCTCCGCCCTACAAGGGGCGTCTCACCCTCCGACTGCGGGATGCCCCGCGGGAGGCGTTTTCCTCTCAAACCCCTACCTCTAAGGGGGGTGCGAGATTTTCGTAAGCTACACTAAAAAAACCTAGGAAGTAGCTGTACCGTGTAGAGAGAAGAGGGTTGGAGCTAAAGTTTTTTAATTCAACTGAGCTTAACCTACTTCCGCAGCCCTCTTTTGAGTGTCAAGACAAAAAGTGAGCCCAATACGCGACCCTACCTCCGCGCATGAGGAACTTGGAGCCGGTTCGCAGGGCCGCGGAGCTCCTCAAGCGTGTGGGATCGGGCGGCACGCGCAGTGTCAGGCTCAGGAGCTCGCACAGCTGCCTCAGCAGCAGCGAGAAGGCATGGCCACTCACCGCGACGGAAAAGCTCACAGCGGCGCTCGAGCTCGGCTGTGGGGATGCGAGCCTCAGCTGGGGCGCGGTGCCGCAGCATGCGCACGGCGAGGTAAAAGAACTTCCATCCACGCAACGATGAATCAGCGGAGCTCTCATCCGCAACGAGCTGGAGCCCAGCTCGGAAGGCAGTGCGCAGCGTGCTGTGTACTTGCACCGGCAGGCTCTCCAGCGTTAGGACGCGCTTGCGAAGCGTGGCCGCGAGATCTATGGCATCAAGCGTTTGCAAGCCGGCTTGGAAGGCCGCCTTAGCGCAGAGCACCCGTCGCTGGGATGCTGTGAGGGATTCGGGCGCGGGCTGTTCTGCTGCCTGCGGTGGGCCAGCGTCCTCCGCATCGGGCAAGGGGTGCGAAGGTGCAGCGCCCTCGCCCACGGCCCCGGCCTCCGCGCCGTCCACGTCCTCGGGCTCGGCGCTCTCCCTCAACGACTCGCGCTGCCGCAAACCTGACGAAATCGTCGCCCTGCTCGCCGTCACCATAATCGACCGATGGCGGCGGAGAGCCACGATGGGAGTTCTCGCCATGGCAGACTGGCGGGGCAGCCGGTACTTCCAGTGGCGGAGGCTGCGCATCACTCCGCTGGCGCACCGCTGCAGGCGCAGCAGCGTCAGCAGAGGTTCCGATGTCGACTTGTGGGGGCAGGCCAGGCACGTCGAAGGGCTGGGCACAAAGCGTCTCGATGAGTCGTGCAAGGGCCTGCGGGCCCACTAGGAGGGTGAGCAGTGCCTGTTGCCGATGACGTCGATGCGGCGGTCATCGAGGCGCTCAGGGTGGATGTTGAAATCGCGCACGAGGACATTGCTGGCAACGGTAGCCCCGGCCTCGCGGCAGGATGCAAAGTATGCCGCAGGCGCGTGCTCAGCGGCAGTGCATAGTCCAAGGCCAGCATGGCGCAAACACAGGTTTGCACGCGCGGCTGCGGATTGGGGAAGGGGGTCGGCGCCATCGGTTTCGCCGGAAGCAACGTGGAGCAGCTGGGCAAGGCAGCGGAGGATGTTGTGGTCATATGCCGCAGCAAACACAGCCGTGAGTGCTGGCGGGAGCAGGAGTGGAGCAGGCGAAGGCAGTAGTGCACGCGAGGTGACGCACAGAACAACAGTAGCCACGAGACTTGCAGGTCATGGGATGTCGTCAAGAAGAGCCCGCACACGCTGGCCGGGGAGGCGCTCCCCTTGCAAGGAGCGGAGCGCCGGCGCAAGTCCTAGGGCGAACAACGCGGGCATAAGCGGATCGCCGTGCTCGCCACCCTCGGCCTGGGGCATGAGGTGGGTGACGCCTCCATCGTCAGTCCACACAAATTCGGAGCGCTATAAAACAGGCGGACGAAGGGAAGCATGGCAGAGGCAACGGGCGTGTGCTGGAGCTCAGTCAGCATGGCTCGGCAGCTTACGAAAGCAGCCGGGGTCCGAATCGGTTTCGAGTCGAAGAGAGTGGGCGAGAGCCTCAGCCCCAGCACGAGTGGAGAAGGCGAGGGCGGGTTGCTTCATCAATGTGTCGGCTGTACTGCTGGGCAAGATTGGGCAAGTGTGCGGGCAACCAAACGTCGGAGGAAGTCTCTGACAACTAGTCCACGGACGCCACCGGTTGGATTGCGCAGTCCAACGAAGCGTCCAAGGCCAAGCGCGGAAGCTATGGAGGTGGGGAGGCGGGCTCTTGCTAGCAGCAGCGCGAAGCTGAGGAGTCGGCATCGTCGAGGAGCAATCTTGCGATGTCGGCTGTGAATCCGCTGGGGCCGGGAGGGCGGGTGCAGCGCCTCGGCGCGAGCGACGTAGGTTGGCAAGCAAGGCAGGTGCAGCAGCGCGGGCCTAGGAGCCATGGGGGCTAGTAGGAGCTGCAACGGCTGCGGGAACGAACACTGCCAGCAAGCAGTGCCGGATGTGCCGGCGAGGAGTGCACGGTGGTCGGCGAAAAGTATTGCAGGCGCCGGGCAGGCAGTTGGTGCGACAGGTGTCACATCTCCTGGCGAATAGTCGGGCGGTGTGTCACACATCAAACGAAAGCGGACACCGGCCAAGGGGGTCTGTCAGGCTTGGGGTCCACAGCCAAATGGTGGCCCGGATGGTGCCGGCGGGTCATGGCAGAGCTCAGGCTTCAGCATATAGAATTTGATTTTTCTTCTTATGCGCCGTTTGAACGCCACCCCTGCCTAGCCGCAGGGCACAAGGCGGCAGGAGCGCGTTGGGCTCGGGCACTCCATCGCCCGCCAACTTCTCTTGCGAGGACCCATAGTCGTTGTGGTCCGAGGCGCATCAACTCAAGGCAGGCTGCACGCTCACGCTCCGCGGCTGGGGCAGACACCAATGTGACAAAGTCGTTCTCCTCTACTTTCTACTCTATGCTCTACGCGCTGTGCGCTTCGGGTCTGCATTCTGCGCTGTGCACGCTGCGCTCCCTGCTCTCTAATGTGTGCTTTGTGCGGTTGATCATCGTTTCATGCTTCAAGGCTTTCTGTTGCCGTGTGTACGCTAGTACACATACCTGGGCGTGACATTTGAAGCATCACTCTAGTGGCATACGCATGCAGCTCGTAAGAAATACACGTGCAGACCAAGTGAGACAATGCTGCCGCAAAGCATCGGGAGCACGTGATATGTACCACAAACGTACAGCCGACGGCTACGTCAAAGCCCTAAACCCTCAAGCGAAAATCGTTGCGCTGCACGTGGCAAATGCCTGCAACGAAGAGCAGATTGGCATGAATGGACGAACGGGATACGAACGGGTATTGCCCATCCCATGCGGTGCAAAAAATGAACCACAAGAGACCGTCATCAGACAGCAATGTCCAAGTCGCAGTAACGAGAATGCAATCGCTGCAACCACACACACACACACACAACCCACAGGACCGCGTCATGACGAAAACTAACCACAAAGAGTTCTAATTCAGAGGCACAAACGGCGGCATACATTGCGCCCCCTGCTCTGTTCAAAACAATATTTTATGTTTGTCGGAGGCTGCCTGTCGAAAGCTTTGCCAGCTACGGGCTGCATGGTGCTACCGCCTAGGCTATAGTCCGAGCGCGCGTAAGCGACCACATTGCACAGCTTTGGCACGAGCCCCATAGCAGAGGAAAGGCCGACGTCACTTAGGGAGCGCGGCGGGAGTGACAGTGCAGCCGCGCTCGTGAACGAGCCAAGCATCGTGACTAGCGACGCGGCACCATGGTTCGCGACAACGGCAACGCCGCGCCGCGGGTCGCCTACGCAAATGCTGCGTATCGTCGGCCACCCCTGGGTCGCCCGTCTGCCGAAAAGCCAGCCGCACTGGAATGCTTTCATGATAAGCCCGTCCATCGCGACAGCTTGCTCGGTAAGCCCGTGTCATGCTCCACACACCATATAGGTCCGGTGACAGCATTGCACGCATATTGGTGGGCGCCGGACCACAGCATGGCTCATTCATGTTCATCCTGTTTTTCCAAGCTCCGGCGTGGGTTGCTGAACCACAAACGTTTCGGTATTCACTGGTCTTCTTGTCGCCACGGTTGGATGTGTTCCACAATACTTTCCACCGCCGTTGTGTCCGCAGCACAGGGCCCCAGCAAGTGCAAGCCTGCACTTTTTGCCGGCGCACGCGACTCGTCGCAACACGCTTCGGCGAATAGCTCACTCCCCGCTGTTCCTCCTTTGAGCTCAGCGGCGCAACAACTGTTTGCTGGTATTGATGCCTTAGCAGGCCATGCCAAACAACCTCGATGCGGTTGGTAGTTCCACCTTTTGCGCCAAACTATTGTGCATCCCAAGCTTTACTGCGGCCCCTCCGGGCATCCAAATGTCACAGGCCACTGTGCAACAGTGGGGGACACGCGGGCGTGGCAAACGCAAGCAGCACCCGGACGAGGTCTTTATACCGGTGGAACGTGGCGGGCATAACCCCGTTCAGTGTCTGCAGACCTTTCTCGACACTCCGCACAAAGCGGTGTGTAGTCGTAGCACATGTTGCGTTTCCGCAAAGACCTTCGTCTGCTTTCTGTTGTGCTATGGCCCGGTTGGACTTAATTAACTTTATGTGGGGTCGCCCTGGTGAGAGGAGAAACAACTGTGGCATCGATTGCTACAGCGTGGGGCGGTTGGCGACGACCCCGATGTACCGCTCATCGGCAACGAGCACATCGAGGTTTACGTCCGCCATTCACCGCCAGACCAACTTTGAGGGCAGACCAAGATTCGTAAGTGGTGCAAGCCGCACGATGGTCGCCGCATGGGTTGAGTCGAGGCATCTACAAACACTGCGTTGCACATTGAGCGCGGGCTCCCAATGCAATGTTCGCCTGCACCGACCGGCATATCAAAAAACGCGACAGTGTACTCGCGTGGGACCTCACCGCGGCATCTAACGAACCACATGGACCGTGAAGACTTCGAGTTTCGTCTCCAAGCACCCACGTGGCAACAAGATTGCTATTGACACCGGTGGTTCAGTGTCACAAGCAGCCCTTCAGACCCGCTTGATTGGGCATTCACTGAAGCAGATCTTGTGAGATACAACACCCGACGACAGTTGAGCACACAGGAGATAAACGTTTGCAAACATCGAGCTGCAGCATCTGAATCTTTGACTTGGTAACATCGAAACTCGAAACACAGGTGGTTCAATGCGCAACACTCGTCGGTGAGCCGATTTTCGAAGCTGCACAGAGCAGATTCTAAAAGTTGATTCGCGCTGGTCGGTGACGGGAAACACGTTGTCAACGTCTCGACATGCCTAATTAAGTTCTGCGTCGAATGATTCCACTCGGTTCAGAAACGATCCTTGAAGACCCATCTCAGGAGCATTGCCCATGTCTGCGCACATTTGCCCAGTTTTACTAGCCTTCCTGAAAATCACGGGTTGTGGAATTGCGAGTGTTGTGACTGGATGGCTTCTTAAGTGCTTCTTAAAAAGCTGAGCCTCCACAAGGCCAGGTCACAGTGGACGCAATGTGCAAATGCGGGAGGGGGCCGGGCCCTCCTCACGCCCGTGTTCTCAAAGCTTGCATGCAGACAACCCCCGTTCAACCCCCCTTGTTGCGGCATGCAACAACGTCAATACCATCTTCAGCTCCTGCCTCCCACCTCCAAGCGCATTGCAAGCATGACGCAGGGACAAGCCCGGCAAATGAACAAAGCTATGTTGGGCGAACCGGAGAGGCTGAGTCAACATCGAACGGCCGACGGCAACACGGAAACCCGGTGCTCCTTGCATCCAGCATTCTAGAAGTTCTGTACCGGACCGGAATGAGAGGCGGGCTGTGCTTTCAGGTTACCGATCTCTGCTCGGCGAGCATCCTGGACCGAACACGGGAAAAAGCCTCAAACCAAACGGAGTGGGAGTCGGGTGCCGACGAGTTCGTTGCTGATGACATCCTGGGCGGAGTGATGGCTTGGCACAGCTGGACCACACGGTGCTTATCTCAGCCACGGACGCGTTGCTTGGACAAGCTCGAGGATTCCTGTGAAGATACACTGTCACAAGACTATACAAGACGACTCACTGGAGTGAACAACAATCCGAGGCGGGGTAGTTGCCCCATGTAGCTCATGTCGCGAGGATGGCCGGAGCATTAAAATTTTTCAACCTATTCCAACCCGCAGGGAAATCCCAAAGAAACGACGACGAGGCAAACTGGGCAGACTATGACCACACGGTGCCTCATGGAGATGTTCAGCCTCAGTGTCATTCCCTTTTGTAAGGTGGCGAAAACTTCGGGTTGAACTAAGCGCAGTTC